AAGAAAATTGTTGCTTTAATTGTAAAAGAATGTATTTGAAGTTCCCACATATATTCAAAATCACTTGAGGTTTATTGTACAGGTATTATATATGTGTCGCCAAAGTAAAACCTTTAATTCACATTTAAATTGAGTGAATGTTAATTTTTGTTTAGCTCAAATACATTTTGCACTCAAATTTGATTGGATAATTGTTATTTGACTTTTTGTTGTGCATGTATTGATTTGCTTTTTAAATTATAAAGAGAACACTATTGATTAATGGTTATTCAATATGTTTTGTTATATGTGTTTATGGCTTTGCAATATATCGCAATGCAGGCTTAGCCGTTTTGTTGCACCCCTACTGGTACGGCCAGTACTTCTGTAGTAGTTATACTGTAGGAACTTTTATGCCACGACAACATATATACTGGACCAGACAACTTAGTCCACTACGTCAATATGACATCTTGGTCAGACATTTAGCTCCATTACTTTACAATCAAAAGTCCTAGCTGTAGTCTTGTATATTGATAAATCTCGAGGACTCAGCACCACCCCACTGCATGTACATGTATATACACAAGTCGATTGTTAGAGTAACTAAAATAGTGTTGGTTTGGCCTAATACGTTTATCGGAGTAGTAGAATAGTAAATACTAGTTTGATAACCCCAACCTTGACCTTTATATAGACTACTCACGACTTTGTTGCATGAATCTGGTGACATTTTGCATCTTAAGGTTTCTCAGTATCAGTATTCAGGAGTGTGACTTGTGGACTAACTCCGCTGTTATAGCTATAATCAATGTATTGTGGGGTTCTCAGTATCAGTTTTGCGGTGACCTGATTGGACGTTCAGCTGTTATACCTGTACAGTGTATTGTGGGGTTCTCAGTATCAGTTTTGCGGTGACCTGATTGGACGTTCAGCTGTTATACCTGTACAGTGTATTGTGGGTACCAGTATTAAGTTGTGTGTGACCTGTGGACTAACATCAGATTTTATAACTGTTCATTACATGTACATTGGGGATACTCAGGCATTCTACGTGTTCAGGATATTGTGCATATTGTAAGCCAATTTTCTGAAGATTAGCAAGGTAGGTACATGTCACTATATTGTGCAACATGCCTTATTTATAGCTAGTAACCCTCGCTCGTCTTTGTTTTAGAATGAAATTAGTTTATTTTCAAGATATTTTGTAAACAAGTAATTTGACAGTTTGTTTAAACAGTAAATTCATATTTACGGCAAAAGTGTGAGGTAAATAATATTGATCACTACACTTAATGTACTGGTTAAATTGATTACTTCACTTATTGTACTGGTTATATTGATTACTACACTTATTGTACTGGTTATATTGATAACTACACTTAATGTACTGGTTATATTGATTACTATACTTATTGTACTGGTTATATTGATTACTACACTTATTGTACTGGTTATATTGATCACTACACTTATTGTACTGGTTATATTGATTACTACACTTATTGTCCTGGTATTTTTTTTATCTTAGACAAATTTTACATTAATTTTGCAGTTTTAGTGATTTCTATGTTCGTAGTATTATGTGAGGTATGTCCCTTATACAGTCAGGAATAATACATAGGTTTATATCACCTATGTTTGTAGTTTTATGTGAGGTATGTCCCTTATACAGTCAGGAATAATACAGAGGTTTGTTTATATCACCAACCAATGATTTATTCAGTGGATCAGAACATGTCTTCAGAGCCATGGCCATCTCCAAACAGAAACATTAAAATTGTGTTAAATAGTCTTGATAAATACTACCACTGCTTCAAACTAAACAAAATTTGTATGAATTTTACATAGATCAGATCTATGAGGAGCTAGGAGAGTAAGATTGATGACATTGTGTCCCTATATCCCAACAAAATAATCATTATATTAATATACCTGTTTGTACCGTATTTCATCTAATAGCCTCACTAAACATACAAAAATATCATATCTTCAATATAAAATAGGATGGGGTACGTGTAATGATCATAAATACAAATGTGAGTCCATTGAATATTCCAGAGATACATGTACGGCTGAGGGTGAGAGGGTTTGTCATGTACATCTGAGGGTGAGAGGGGTTGTCGTGTACGACTGAGGGTGAGAGGGGTTGTCATGTACGACTGAGGGTGAGAGGGGTTGACATGTACGTCTGAGGGTGAGGGGG